CATGAGGCTATCTTGCAGGCGGCTCGTGCGCGGCGTGGCGCCGGGCCGCGCTGCGGTACGCTGCGGGTGTGGCCGTCGGCAGGTCCGGCAGGTCCGGCAGGACGACGGCGAGCCAGGCCAGGGCCTTGATGAGCTGCAGCGGGAAGAGAATCCGAGGCTAATGAGAGGCGGGCCGAGGGGTGTGGCGAGGAACACGTCCCGAGCGAGGGACGGAGCGACACCGCGCCGTCCGTGGGTTATGAGTTTCTAACTGGATTGCCGCGGGGGAAGCAGGGCGGAGGAAAGCGGCCCGATCGCGCGGCAAGCCGACGAGGACGAGGGGCGTGCGGAAAAAAACTAAATAAACGCAGAGAAAATGAAATACGGAACGGGCGCAAGTCCCTCCCGGCCGCAGCGAGGCTGAGTCCCGAACAGTGCGGGAAAACGGAACAGGTTTCCACGGTCTTCTTTCCCAGAGGACCGGCCCGAAACTGTTTAATGCAAACGCGTATTAGAGTAGGACGATGCGGTGTTATCAGCCGCGGAAGCGAACCACGCGCTCGGCTGACCCTCACGGCAAAAGCCCCCCCCCCCCCTCTCTCTCCCTCGTCGCCGGGTGTGGCCGTCGCTTAATTGGACAATGGACCAGGACGCTGTCCTCGCGGGGGAACGCCAAGGTCTGCGGTGCGTCCCGCGTCGCGTCACGTCCAGGACGGCGCCGACCGGGACGCACGCGCGCACACGACGCGCGCTCGGGCACGGGCAGCACGCCACCAGGTCGCAGACAGGGGCCTACTTGAGCACCGCTGGGGCGTCGGCGTCCGGTACCGCGCGGGTGCAAGGTTCCTAATGGCGGGGCGGGGCGGGGCGGGGCGGGGCGGGGCGGGGCGCAGCCAAGCACGAAATGGGATGGGTTCGGGTGCTGCACGTACTGACTGCAGGCAGCGCAACGCGGCGCAACGCCCTCGCACACCGACAATCCTCGCACCCACACCAGTGCAGCCCCCCCCCCCCCCCCCCGGGCCCCGTCATCAAAACACGCCGGACGAGCGAAAAATTTGATCGACGAGGGAGACGGGAGGGACGAGACGAGGCCGGCGCGCCAAATGTCGTTACTGTCGCAAATGAGCTTCATTCTAAACGGCCGGGAGGACGAGCAGGCCGTCAACGTCAAGCACGGCGTCGTAATCCAATCGGCGGGGCCATCCTGGCCATCCTGTTGTCGTGTCTGCCTTGTCTCAGAGTAGCCAAGTCGGAGTGACGACACCAGCGTGCCGGCCGGTCACGCTAACACCAATCACACACAAACAAACACACACACACGCGCGCGCGATGTGGAAGAATTTCGGTACCACGGCGTTCACTTGTGCATCACAGCGGTGCGGTGCAGCGCGGCGTGCAAAGGAGCGGACGCGTCCGTGTGCGCGGCAAGACGGCTCGCCGTCAACTGAACTCAACCGGCGGCCCGCCCCGCCCCGCCGCGCCGCACCACGCCCGCCAAGCAGCCAAGCAGCGGCCTAGCGTTGGCCTGGCGGTCTGGCGGGGCGCCACGGCATGGCCGGGCATGGCGGCGGGCAGCGGGCTGACCCGGCGGGACGGCCCCCTGCGTTGGCTCCGCGTGGTGCATGTGGTGGCCGCCGAGTCTCGAGTCTCGGTGCGCACGCCGCGCGTCTAACTCTAATTCGAGACTTGTAAGCAGCTTTCCCGCTTGTGACGCATCGCCACGAATTAGTCCGACAAGAACCTCGCGCTGTCTCTCTCGCCCTCGCGGGGCGTCCCGGCGGGCTGCGAGGGAGACAGAGCGACGGAGCGCGGTTCGGAATGCAGATTATAGGTCTCGCCGGCGGCAACGCGACGCTGAGCCGCTTGAACGCTGTTTAGCAACACGAACTGTCCCGTCCCAAGTCCCAGCCTTGGGCCACGCTTGCAGTGGGGCAGCACGAGGTGGGCATAGGCGGGCGAAGTGGCACGTGTCATGCGGTCTGTCTCTGTCGCACCCCTTCGGACCGCTCCACGGGTGCGAGAGAGACAGAGCACTCGGACGCCAACCACGGGCCTGCACTGCTGTAATGGGAGCGCGGTCAAAAAGTCACCGGGCCCGGAAAAAAAGATGGCCAGTTGCAAGTTTCAAGGCTAGGCGCCGTCGCAGCACATTTCCATGCTGCGCGATGCTGCGACATCGGAAACACAATAGTGCAGGAAGCGAGGGCGCTTTGGCGTGGCTTTGGCTGCCAGAGTGACCATCGGGCGTTTCGGGTTTCCCGTGCCGACGTTTCCCGCTGACCGAACTCATTTTCCGGCCGGTCGGGCCCGAAAGGCGCCGAAAGGCAAACAAATCATTTCTGGTCCAGCCACCAATCGCAATATGGGGGCGACCGGCGAATGGCGAATGTGGCGCGCGCTGCGCAGAGCGCCAAAAGACCGGCGTCACGGTGGAAGCGGCCACAATCCCGGATGCATTTGCAGCTCCAAAGTAATGACTCGAACCGAACGTGTGACCATGCTAATGGATTGCTCTCCGAGCGAGGCATCCTTTGGTGGGGTCACACGCTCGGATGGAGACCTGTTTAGCGACTCTGGAGCTCAAAGGGCGTATCATCCTCCTCAGCTCAAAAGGCGACCCTTCTGGCCCACTGCGCGCTGGCCTGGCGGGCTGGTCTATGCGGCGGGCGCCCGACCGACTGCCGCCGCAAGCTTCTCAGTCTGCTGCCAGAGTCGTTCTCGTCGCTCTGTCCCTCTCGCACTCGTGGGGCGTGCCTTAGGGGTGCGAGAGGGACAGAGCGACGAGAACGACTCTCGGAATCAGTCTGCTGCCGCGCGGGGCGTGGCGCTGCGGCGCTGCGGTCGCCGTGGACATGGACACTTTCCCGCGCACGTAACGCTATGGACAGCGGATCTCACGGGACGAGATGGGACGAGACGAGTCCCAGCGAGCTGATTCCGAACCCGCCGCTCTGTCTCCCTCGCACTCATGGGAACCCAACGACGAAAAGGCACCGTTCGGAAACAGCCCTGCAGCCTGCGCCTTTTGACTCGGCCGCAGCCGCCGCAGTGCGCCGCAGCCACTCCGGGACTGTCTCCGGGACTCCAGCAGCCGTCTGATTCCGAGCACTGCTTTCGTCGCTCTGTCTCTCTCGCACTCATGGGGCGGTCCGTAGGGGTGCGAGAGAGACAGAGCGACGAAGCAGTGTTCGGAATCAGACGGCAGACTCCAGCCGGTGCGCATCGTCGTCGTCGCTCCGTCTCTCTCGCGCCTGTGCGGGTGGTGCGGGCGCCCTGCGAGTGCGAGAGAGACGGAGCGACGACGAGTGGTGCGCGCGCAAGGAGCCTGTTGGCCGCCCCGGGCAGCCCTTGGCCGCAAACGGGCATGCATCTGCTGGCCTCTGGCTGCCTCTGGCGGATCGTGGATTATGGGAAGGAAATCAATCCGGTCCGATTCGATCCACCAATCAGGGCGCCGGGGGCCACAGGCACAGGCCAGTTCCCACCGCGAGGAGGCAGAGGATGCCGTGTGACCCGGCAGCGGCAGACAGCAGCAGGCCGCGCAGCAGTCCGAACCAAGGCCTGTTCTAGAGAGAGGGTTGCCCAAGAAGGCTGTCCTAGAGGGCTGTTCGAGGGAACAGTTCTAGAGGACTGCTCGAAGACGATTCGGCTCCGGCGCTCGTATGCATCCTGTGCCTCCCGTTTCTTCCAAACACAGCCAGCGGGGCGTTCTCAGCCCTTTTCAAACAACGTCAAAAACGCGTGAAAATACAGAGGTGCCCCGCAGAGCGAGACCGAGCCTGTGCATGTCAAAAGAAGCAGCTCACCAGCAGGACGAGTGTGCTAAGCATGGGCCCTCCGCGGGGGCCCGCCGTGCGGCCGTGACATCCCGTGACCCCCGCGTCACGAAGGCGCGTCACGGCGCCGCGTCACGGCGTCGCCACGCGCGGGGCCCGGCAATTGCCCCTCTGGTGATTGGACGGAGCCGGGGCTTTGACACACACAACCACACACTCACACAAACACACACACACACACGCGCGCGGCCGCGTTCGTGGGCGTCGTCGTGGACGCGGGGCGCCTCGCCCGCCTCCTCCGCGAAGAGCGCAATCGCTCTCGGCGCGGCCGCGGACGTCCGCGAGGCTCGGCGCTGCGCAGCGCTGCGCGCGGGAACACCGTCTGTCACGGGTTCGACGGCGAAGTACTGCAGCCACGCCGCCCCGGGCGGTGCGCCCCGCGAGCGTGTGTGCGTGCGGTAGTTTTGCCTCATACCTCCGCCAGCACAACAAGAGCACAAACAACAACAACTACAAGGAGCAGCGCCTTTTCATTTCCACCTGTTGGTGCGTGCCGCGAGTGCCTCCAGTGCCTGGCGGGGAGGGCGGCCGAGCGAGGCAGGAACGCGGCAGTGCGTGCTGCGCAGTGCTGCGCGGTGCTGCGCCCTCCCCCCGCCCTCCGTTTACAACGCTTCGATTCCCGGCCGGTTTCTCGCTCGCCATTTCCCTGCGCAGGGCAGCACAGGGCAGGCGGCGGCCAGCAGCCAGCAAACGCAAAGGCCGAAGCCGCGTAATTAAGGGACCAGGACGACGTCAACGAGTCTCCCTCGCACTCATGGGGCCTACCCATAGGCCAAAGGGCAAAGGGTGGCCGTGCTGGGAGAGAGAGACACAGGGAGAGAGAGGGGGGAGAGGGGGGCGGTTTGCACTCCGAATTTGGCACGCCCTGACACTGCCTTTGCCACCAGCTCCACGTTTTAGGGTGGCTTTGACGCCCAGGTTCTGGGCACCTTTGTTGCCTGGTCTCAGAGTCCAAAAATCAGCCGCCCCGACCTTGGATGCCCGAATGCATGCCCTACCTGAGCAGAGAGAGAGAGAGAGAGAGAGAGAGAGAGAGAGAGAGAGAGAGAGAGAGAGAGAGAGAGAGAGAGAGAGAGAGAGAGAGAGAGAGAGAGAGAGAGAGAGACGAGAGCGATGTTTGGAATGGGGGAGACCCGGCCCGTGAACGGTCCCCACTCCGCTGTCACGGCTGCCGCGGCTCACCTTGTGGTTCAGGTCCAGCACGTCCTCCTCCAGGCTGGCGTCCGAGTACAGGTCGTCCGCCGTGTCGCACGTCGAGCTGCGGCCCGACGAGTTGAAGCTGGAGCTCCGATACAGCTGGCTGCAACAGGGAAAAGTCGGCGGTCTTTTGAATTCTTGCCTCAATGACGGGCAGTCTTGCTTGAAACTAGAGCCAAGGTTTCTGGAAGCAAAGCAACAACCAAATCGGCACACTCAAAGCCCCACTTTGACGCCTTGTCGTCTGGTTGGAATGATTTCCCAGAGAAGTCGGCGCCTCCCGCCTCGATGCTTCCACATTCAGAACCCCCACCCCCACTGCCCTCACTCCCCCCACCCCGGCCTCGCCCTCGCCTCCGAGCTCGCCTCTGCGTCGCCACAGAGCGCCAGCGCCCGCAGCGCCCCACCGCCTGCCCGGGCCGCCGCCCCGCCGCCGCAGCCGTCCGTTGGGCTGCCTACCCGGCACGGCGCTGGGGCGTGCCGGATCGGATGGGTTGCCTACGGCCCGGGCCATTGCCATTACCATTAAGGGCTAGGCCACACATGATCGTATGCCATTTCGGGCCCGACACATGCTCGCCTGCACTGCAAAATGAGACATGGCCGTCCTTACTCAGGTGACACTTTATCCCGGCGGAGAAGAACCACAAGCGGCTACGACTCCCACTCGCAGTATGGCCAGTCAGGGTGAAGGAGTACATCCCCCCCGAGGGGGGCCGAGTAAGAACGTCAGGCGGATTCAAATAAACGCCCATTTTTCACCGCAAGGTACAAAGAAAAAGGTTTTTGCAATGGTTGTGCAGTATTCTTCGCAATCCTTTTCACTGCAAGACCTACATAGTCGACTTGAAGAGTTCACAGTATAGGAAATGAGCACGGTTTCGCTGATGCCCTGCTAAAAATTCAGCAGAGAGACGTTCGACCAGCCAGCAACATGCGTCGGGTTCGTCTTTTGGCTCTGAGGCTATCTGCGGCTGCATAGCCTGACCGATAACTTTGGCGCGACGAATCCAGCGGGAGAATGTTGTTGGTTGTTGTTCTTTGGCGCGCCGGCACGCAAAGAGCACGCGCGCCGCTGTGACTAATGCCCCGGCATTGCGCGTACAGTGGGCCAGAAGACCGGTGGAGGCGGTCAAAACTCTGCATGCGTTTTGAGCTCCAGAGCCGCTAAAGTGGACTAGAACCGAACGAGTGACCCTACCAATGGATTCCTCGTTCGGAGAGCAAGCCATTGGTGGCGTCACACAGTCCCATTTAGAGACTCGAGAGCCCAAAACGCGTCTAGAGTTTTTGGCCACCTCCACTGGTCTTCTGGCCCACTGTAGCGTGGCCGTGTGGACAGTGGTGCGACTCACCTTGCCAGCGCGTTGGAGCCGAGGGCCGCCCGCTTGCCCGCGCTGCAACAAAAGACACAACGGAGTCAGCATCAGCAGTCAGCGGCTGCAGCCGAGCGATTCAGGAGATCGGTTCGTCGCTCTGTCTCTCTCGCACCCTTGCGGGCAGCCCCATGAGCGCGATAGAGACAGAGCGACGAAACGATTGTTTTGAAGACGCAGCCTGAAGCGTCGAATTTGCGTGTATCTGGATTCCGGCTCTGTTTCTAGGGCGGCCATACGGCCCGAAGACCAGACCAGACAGACGCGTCACGCGTGGATGTGGGAGGCGTTTGCTTCGCTGCTCTGTGTCCGGTGACTGCGGCGACCTAGTCAAGCTCGCCCGCGCGCCACGCCGCTACACTGGCACTGGCCTCGTGGCCGACCGGCCGCAAGTGTTCCCAGATGTTCCTGACAATGTTCCAATGTTCCCAATGTTCTTGATGTTCCGATAATCCGAAATGTTCTCAAATGTTCCCTGTTCCCTCGTACGTGAATTTCCCGAGTTGTCCACCCCTCGGGCCACGCGCTGGGCTTTGCTATGGGGCCGTGCACGTGCGGCGAGGCCTGCTTGACGCCAATCAGGCCGAGGGAGAGAACGAGAGAGAACGAGAGAGAACGAGAGAACGAGACAGAAAGAGAGAACGAGAGAACGCAGCAAGGAAAGGCAATCAATTAGGCCGCTGCACTGCTCGCTGCACCGACGATTCCTCACGCGACTGCACCGCGACCCGTCGCTCTCTCTCTCTCTCTCTCTCTCTCTCTCTCTCTCTCTCTCTCTCTCTCTCTCTCTCTCTCTCTCTCTCTCTCTCTCTCCCCGGCAGAGCCGCCCTTTGCCTCGTTCCCAGCGGTACATTGCGACTTCCTCTTGCAGGAGCCCAACAGCACACGGCCCCAGCAGGCTGACCCCGAACGGCGCGCTTCGCCGCTCTCGTCGCTCTGTCCCTCTCGCACTTACGGGGCGTCCCGCGGGGGTGCGCTGGGGTGCGAGAGAGACAGCGCGACACCGCTCTACAGTGCCTCTCTAACGGCGACCACACAGCACACCGGCCGGCCGGCCGACGAGCTCATCAGGCCGCAGCGCCTCCGCGCTCCGCCTTCGACTGTCTTCTCTCGCTCCTTGGAGGGGACGCCGCATGAGGGCGAGGGAGACAGAGCGACGAAAACGACTCTCGGAATGAGTCCGCCTCCGCTGCCTGACATTTCCACCGCGAGGACTCCGCGCCCCGTGCCGTCGTCCCGACGGGTCCCGACCCCGCCAATCGCTGGCGCCGCATCTCCGCGACCTCGCCGAGCCGAACCCGCCGAGCCTCGCCGAGCACGCTGCACGTGTGCGTCGTGCGTCAACGGCCCAGCGACCCAACGGCCCAGCGACCCAACGGCCCAGCGACCCAACGGCCCAACGGCCACCGCACGACGTGGAGCACGCGGGGAGGCGCCGACGGCAGTGCGAAGAAGGAGGAGAGGGAGAAGAAGAAGGGGAAGAAGATGGCGCTCCTGTCGGATTCCTCCACGATTCGGCCGAGCGGACGGATTTCAGCCGTCTTTCCGCCGCCAAAAAATAATTGCGGAAAATAAACGTTTGTCCTATTTTCAGCTGGGGAAAAAGATAAAATAACAGAAAAAGTCGTTAGTACAAAGAACAGAATTATCATCATTGTGTCTCCAGTCGCTCGTCGAGCGTGTCGAGGGGGGTCTGTTTGTTGTTGTTGTTGTTGTTGTTGTTGTTGTTGCTGCTGTTGTTGTTGTTTGCTGTTGTTGATGCTTTCGCCGTCCCAAATGAACTTCGCATGACACAAGACGCTTGAGAAATATTCCTGCCAGGGAAATAAATATTACCCACTGTGATTATACACGCAGCAGCGCGTTAAACCAGTTGAGCGAGCAGTGCAACACTCTACTCTGCCGCTTGCGGGCTTGCAGGTCGTCGAGGGCAAGGGGCGGGCGTGCACTCTAAAAACGCTTAAAAAGAAAGACTGCATCCAACATATTACGGCAGAGAATTCGTTCGGCGATTCGTGGCGGCGAGCAAAATATTTGCGAATCCTATTTCTAGGGACACTAAGTAGTTGCCTGCCGGCAACATGCCCTCGCGTTACAGAGCGGGGTCGCTCTATCCGCCTTGCCTTTCCCCTGGTCGGAAACACGGCAAAGTTTCACTCTCTTTTTGACAGTGGTCCTGCAGTGCTGCCAGTAGCTTTTGCGCGGACTGGCTGCCGCCGCGGCGGACGCGAGGCGACGCGAAGCATGGCGGAGCGTGGCGGAGCCCCGGAGAAATGAAGCGTCTCCCCGCGGCGCTGGCGCGGCGCTGCCCCCTGCCGCGCCGCCCGGGCACGGGAGATGGATGACTTAGTTTTCGCGGCGACCGCTCTGTCGCTCTTACGTCGCGAACGCGAAATTAAATGCCGGGTCGGCTGTCGGTTAAGGCGGCCGGCGGTCCAACCTCCGTTACAAAACGAACCACGGAACGCGGCAACGCGGCACCCGAGCGGCGCGACACGCCGTCACCGCGTTGTGTCGCGCTGTCGCGGCCCGGCCGTCACGATCACGTCACGGCCGTGACGTCACGCCGCCGCGCGACACACGCACGCTGTCTCTCTCGCACTCGCGGGCCGAGTCGGCCGACCCGCACTGGTGCGAGGGAGACGGCGAGCCAGGGCGCCAAGGACGCCGCGGCCCAGACGTGTCGATAGGCGCGGAGAAAGCGGTGGCGGCGCAAAGCGCAAAGCGCAAAGCGCGTGGCGGCCGAGGCGGGGATGCGGGCGGACAGGTGTCCGTCTCTCTCGCTCTGCAGTGACGCGCCGCGCCCGGCCGCGCCAGTGCGAGAGAGGCGAAGGACTTGGAGTGCTCCAAGTCAAACTGCCCTCGGCGACAGGGACGTGGGTCGCTGCGGGCGTGCTGCGTTGCGGGGGCGTGCGCGCCGCGCCCGCTGCCCCGCAGCAGCCTGGCGTCACCCTGTCTCTCTCGCGCCGCGGGGCGCGCGCTATAAGTGCGAGAGAGACAGGACGACGCCAAGCACTGGAATCATCGTGCTGGTAATTGGACCAGTCCGGTCTTTTGCCTGGAACCGCCTGGCACGCACTGCCGATTTGCCATCCTGCCTCTTTGTGCGCGGCCGCGGCCAGTGCAGTGGCGCCGCGGTCAGGCAGGCAGGCAGGCAGGCAGGCAGGCAGACCGAGGCGAGGCTCGCCAGGTGAGCTGCGCACTGCGCGGTCGCGGACCGTCGCGGACTTATGTCGATCCAAGGCGCGGCGGGTGGCCTGCGGAGCGATTCCGAAAATTGCAGTGCCTCGTCACTCTGTCTCTCTCTTACACTGAAACGCCCCGTGAGTGCGAGAGAGAGAGACATCGACGACGGCTGGGCGTTGCTGCGGGCCGCGTTCAGGTCACCGCCGACGCCCGCCCACAGACCGCGACAGTGTTCTTTCGCTCTTTCCTTCCTTGTGTGTAGTGTGTGCTTCTGGCCGGGCGAGTCAAGCGGCGCGGAGAGGCCCCACGGGGGGTCCGGCCGGTTCGGTACGCCGGGTTGCCGGCGTGCGACTCGTGACCCCGTTAGACGTTCGGCGGGCCGTTTGGCGGGCCGGCGTGCCGCGGCGAGGGCGTGTTTGCCTCGGTGGGCAACGTTAGCGCGGTGGGTAAACTCAGAGGACGGCCGCTCGAACCATTCGCTCGCACATGTTGGCATTCGGGCAGGGCCGAGCCCGGCCAGGCGCACTTCCAGTGGCTCAGTCCACTCACTGACATGACTCACAGGGAGAGACAGCAAAAACGGACGATGACGATGCCATGCCGTCTTCCAGTTAACAAATAAATGTGTTTTCGTTTGGGAATTGCGCACAAATGTACGTGTGCCAATTTAAATCTAGGACTCCTAATTTCGGCGCCGTTTTCCTTGGTGTTCCCCCTAGGTGCTGACCGCCACCATGTAGTACCAGAGCCGCACGAGGCAGCGCCTCACGAAGTGGCCGCTGCCCAGGGCAGCCCTGGGCGCCTCGTGGTGGTTGGCAGTCATGGTGTAGTAGCACGCGCGGGCTGGCGCTGCCCGCCGCTGCCCCACATCCAGGGCGACCATCATTAAGTATTCCGCCGGCCTTTTGGTGCAGGCTGATGATTCCGAACTGCACCTGTCTCTCTCGCACTCACGAGGCGTTCCGTCGGAGTGCGAGAGAGACAGACGGTTGGGTTGTTCGGCATCACTCCGCCGCGCCCCGCAGCCACCGCGCCCTCCAGCCCTTGGCCTGGGCTGGCCTGGCGTGGCGTGGCGTGGCGTGGAGTGGCGGCAAGATATAATTATTGCAGTCCGATAGGATCGCCGGGCCGCGGCCAGTGCCCACGGCGCCCACGGCAGTGCCACTGCACGCTGCAGCGCTGCACGGCCTTGACCCGGACTGCCGCCACCGGGCCGCCGCCGCCGCCACCAAAGCAGCAGCAGCGCCGGTCCGGCCGGTTCGGCACGAAACCGGGTCCGCGCGGTCAGCGACGCCACGCCGCCCACGCCACTGTGAAAAACAGACAGCGGCCCAGAAGTAATTGTTGGAAAGTCGATGTCGCATAACGGTGAGGGCAGGCTGCGAGGCGCGGCGCGGCGACGCGGCTCGGCTCCCACACCAATCGAGGGGAGGAGCGGCAAGAACAGGCTTATGTCACTGCGGGCCCACGCCTCTAGGGCCTGCAGGGCCTGCAGGGCCTCCAGGGGGAATTAGCGGAGATGAGACTGCGGGACCCGTGGCGCTGCCCCACCCCGCCCCGCCTCGCCCCGCCTCGCCCCAGCCCACCCCTCGCCCCCCGCCCCGCTCCGCCCCGCCCCGCCACCCGGCGATGACTCCTGCGAATACGGCAAGCCCATCACGATGGCGCCATTTCACTCCTTTTGCGCTGTCTTCACGGTGTCCAGAGTCCAGAGTGCCTGATTCCGCCACGCTGTCTCTCTCGCACCCTTCCGGCGCGCCCTGCGAGTGGGAGAGAAACACAGCGACGAAAGCCCCGTTCGGAATGAGCGTCGTGGTGCACCCCCGGCCAGCACA